CTTTGAGTAGGTTATAATGTATACAATGATTTAGTAATTTCTGGAACTGTTATCAGGTGTGCCACACTTCTTTCATGGGATCCAACACATGATGAATAACAAATAGCAAATAATACTTCTGTGAGTGTCCCAGAAATTTAAGCTGGAGGAAAGTCAGAAAAACGGTAGCTTTCTGCTCCTCCCACCTGCCGTGTTACTTCTGCTTTCCCAGGGCAATGTGCTCGTAGCTGGTACCCATTTCAGTAGTTGGGCCAGCTGTGCTTTTTTGGGCTTTTTCTCAGTTAATCCCTGGGGAAGACTGAATCTTTCCCACTTTGAGAGACCTAGATTTGACCATAAAGTTTCCTGAACAGATTTATGAATTTATTGGTGGAAAGAGTAATTTCACACAGTTAAATTGCAATGGATAGTGAATTCAGGGGATAAAAAATTGCAGCCAGCTCTCCTAAACATATTTAGTCCCTCTGCATCAAAAGAGCATTGGAGTTAGGCAGTATCAGGGCTAGGAATGACTTTCCACGGAGCCTGATCTTTTTAGGAGCAAGACCAAACTGAGACCACCTAGGCTGTTACAGAACATGCTTGTCTACTCCGGTCTTAAAGACAGTTTCCCTAAACAACCTGTTTCAGGGTTTTACTATCCTCAGAGTTATGTTTTTCTTAATCTGAATTCAAACTAATCATAATCGGAAATCAAGCTAGTAATTTCTTGTCCTCTTTCCTCAGCATATAAAGAACATTTCTTCTCTCTCCTTTCTGCAAAATCTTTTATAGATGGGAAGACACCTCTTCTTACAAACTTCTCTACATCAGTTCCTTAATTTTTTTCTACTTTCTGAACTGCTCCTCTGACTCTCCTGGGAACATTCCCCGTTTATCTGGATCTTTCTCAAAGTGTGTTGCTTACTTTGCATTTCAATCCACTCTCACAAAATGCTCTCAGCTCCTTTGTCCCAGCGTTATCCACAAATTTTTAAGCTCACTCTCTATTCCTCATTAATGAAAATACAGGCTGCTTCCAGGATCTCCCTTGACATCTCTTCGCTGACATGTACTATTGATAACTCTCTTTCGTACAGTTGTTCGGTGTCAGTCTCTAGTCATTCCTTGTGGATGAGAAAGCAATTTAAAAGTAGTTAAGATTATGCCCTCAAAACCTTATATGGAGCTGTGCACTTTGATGTCTTTTTAGCAATGATGTCCATTGTGTTACGCACCTCCTGGGGGATTTGAATTATTTTTCTCTTTCTTTCTTTTGTATACTGCTGTACGACTTGACATTACCAGAGCAAGGGGCACTAAAGAAATGAATAGGAATTTGATTTAAAAAAGAAGAAATAAATTACTTCTTTACACAGCAGTACTGTCTTCTGGGACTTGTGGCTGCTGGAGTTCATGGAGGCAGATGGTTTCCCTGAGGTCAGAAAAGGATGAGACAAACCCATGGCCAGGATGCCCACAAGGGGATACTGAGATGTCTAGGCAGGAACATACCTTCTATCATCCCTAATGCAACAGCCCAGGTGCTGGTGGGGTATGAGGGGATGGACAGCAGAAAGCGGCCAGATTTGTATTTTCCTCCCTGAAGAGCATCTCCCACAATCATCGCAGAGTAATGGGCCCCGCAGGCAGTTGCTGTGACCCAGAATGACTTTTCTTATGTACTCATAAGCAGCTTCCACTTATCAATAAGACTGATGGAGTGAGGTCCCAGTGGACATATGACCCATCCCTGTCATCATCTCTCATTGTGGGTGACACCGTACAGAGTTGGCCTCAGTTTGGCTCTCAGATGCCAGCTGGGCAACCAAAAAAACCTGTCCTTCTATCTGCTGATGGGGCAGAAGTGAACTGGGATCCAAAATGAAATTGTGACATCTCCTCATAGCTTTTAAAATGAAAATCCCCTAGGAGGTAACTGTGAGATGGCTTAGCCTCTCCATCTGGGGGAAGACTCTTAGAAGTGCTGAGATGTTCTTCACCATCTCTGCCAAGGAGCCACCCCCATGATGAAGCTGTACGATGTACCACAGCGTTTCTGCAAATGAGGGCTGGAAGGGGGAGATTTTGGACAGGCATATTGAGTGGGATTAGTCCAGTCAGCAGGGTTGACCTCCTCCCTTCTTGCATAAAGAAGAAAAAAGAACTGTGACAATGTGAAAGCCTGTTCCTGAGCCAAGACCTTGGCTGGGATTATGGCCGAAGCATCGTTTTTCACTGGTCTTCCAAGTGCTTCTAGAGGTTACGGTGTTGTGTTAAGATGCAATCGCCTGCCTTCGTGTTTTCTCTCCGAGGCTCAGGAGGAGGGCATTTCTCTGAGTTGCTGGAATCATGCTGGACCCAGCCCAAAACAAATGAGATTGAATTTAACCCATCAGCGGGGTGCTTGGTGAGATCACAGCCATGGGCTCTGGAAGCAGATGCTCGGGGGCAGCTTCTGTGGGTAAACTCTGGTCTTTGGGCTCTTTTGTCTTTCCCCACTTGCTTTTTGTATGTATAGATACAGCTGAGAAACTACCTCTGTTTCAGCTTGTTTAAAGAAAAATAAAGACAATTCACCCAGCCCTACACTTTAAAACAGAAATAAAATCTCTGGTTAGTGGCATTGTCAGGAAAGTTCATTAGAAGCCCATTTAGGTTCAGGATGGGGTCAAAAGCTTTGTTTTGGCTATTCAACCCATCCATCCAGAACGTCCCCGTTCCTTTATGCAAAACTGAGGGAAGCTTGGGGATTTTTTAATAAGATTTTCGTTTTTTCCTTTCTTTATTTCAGGCTGGGTGGGATGGGGACACTTATGGAAAGGTGTATCTCCTAGTAGATCCACTTTTTTTTTGCAAACCATAGGACTTGGTGCAAGGAAAGGGAGATTTCCATGTCCCAGTACAGCAGGTAGAAGAGTTTTGCTCTCTGTTTGAGTGGGGTAAATTTGACTGTCGGGTGCTTTGTACATTTGGGGAGTGAATGTCCTCAACTGTGAACTGGAGTCAGAGTGGACCCATATTCCTTTTCTTGGCCATTTTAATGAGCTCTCAGCACGAGGTGGCATGGATGCACTGCATGTCCATCACTGTCCTTCTGCAGACTCCCCATCCTCCCTAGGTGAACCTCTGGGCAACAACTTTTCCATCCACTGGTAAAGCTGAGTAAGGTTGTCAAATACCCTCCCCTCTTGTCAACATGCCTATATTTGAACCTTTGCTCTGAATATTTAATGCATTTACTAATACATTTATGAGGAGTCATTTGGAGGTTTCCTGGCAGAGGGGCCCCAGCTCTCGGGGGCAATAACAACGCCTTTGGTTCAGCGTTAGGCAAACACGCTCAGTGTGGTTGCAGAGTTCGGCTTCGGTAGAGGCTTTCAAAGGTTTGTAAATATTTACACACACTCCTGAATGAGGGGGAGTAGGGGGGGAGACTTTAAACACTGAACCTGGAGAGGAATGTGAGTCAGAAATAACAAACAGGAGGCCCGTCTGAGTCAGAAAAAAATAAGGGAAGAACAAGAACAAAATCTCAACACCTCATTAATCCCGTAACCTCCTAAAGCATTACCTCATGAGGAATTCCTATAAATCTCATGGATTTGTTTTCATCTACTAACGGAGTCAGCTCAAGAGTCCAACTCATGCTCCTCTCTCTTTTTCGTGCCCCAAACCAGCCCTAGAGTGTTTCTGTCCAAAATAACAATGCAGAGTAAGATTTAGGAGAGATGTCAGCAATCTCTCCCCCTCTCCAAATTGCCTGTCTTACAGTAGTTTCAAGACTCCATCAAGTTCACAGCCCCATGGTGTTGGGTGCATCATGAGATCTGAGCACTAGTGTCCAGCCAAGCATCTGACCAAACATGAACACTTTGCTCCTGGGCTATCTTTACAGTCCATGGAGAAATGGCATCTCTATGACATGGTTAATCTCATCCAAAAGTCAATGCCTGTTGCGCTGTCATGTCCAGTGACCCAACTTGGAGTATTTTAGGAGAATGACATAGCTGTTTTTTGAGAATGGCTGGGGATCCATGATCAATGGATCAACAAAAGGGATTCCCCAATTCATGAGTTCCTTCTGAAAATCTCAAGCCAGCCACTTGCAGGCGGACAAAGCGAGGGAACCCCACACAATGGCCGACTTATGCTGATGAGTCTGGCTTTAATTAAAAGCAGAAGCAAAACAAGCAGTGAAAGTCCATGTGATATTTGGCGACTTGTCATCCTACACTGCGCTCCTGCCATCCTGCTTGCTCCTGGCTCAGGACTCAGGGTGTTACAGAACCATCTCCCCCGCTGCTCATGCTGTACTGGGAGACACTCGGGGGAGAAAGTGCAGAGTCCAGCCCTGCTAGTATCAGTTGTGATTTCCCTGATAGGGTCAGGGCTGGATAGTGGCTGTAACAGTCTGCTCAGGAGCTTTCCCAGCCCAGGACCATTGGCATGGAGCCTCTGCAAATAGTCTGGCTGCAGGGTTCCTTCTCCATCCTTTTCAGGTTAGGTAGTGTTGGACAGACACCCGTGTTTGTTCTTTAGGGTATCATCTTCTTCCAGCTCCTTTCAAACAGCTTTGGAGCCTGCCTGGGAATACAGATTACTAGGGACTATGCGTTTTTGTTTTGGTGGAGGTATCATGACAGCTTTGCCTGTACAGGAGCTAGGTCCTGCCTGCCCTGGCTGACAGGCAGCCTGAATGCCGCTGAGCCCAAACTGAGAGTCAGAACAGGAGTTTAATGTTATTTTGGGTGTCAGAGCAGGTGATGCAAGTGCAATCCTGGGCATCAGAGCAGGCGATGCGAGTGCAGCTCTGGGGCTCTCCCTGCCTCCCTTGCAAGTATAGAGGGCTGCTTGGCTGGGTGCTCACCCCTGCCATGTGCTTGCTGCAGTTGAGATGTAACCATGCTGGCTTCACTCAACACCTTGCAGAGCTGTCAGGCCTCAGCACCACCACAGGAGACTGGTTTGGAAAGCCCAGCAGGAATTTGTGCTTCCTCACTGCATTTTCTTTCTTTCAGGCAATGCAATAAGACCTCCAATGGGAGCGACAGCTGTGACTTGATGTGCTGCGGCAGAGGCTACAACCCCTACATGGACAAAGTGGTGGAGCGATGCCACTGCAAGTACCACTGGTGCTGCTACGTGACCTGTAAAAAGTGCGAGAGGACTGTCGAGAGATATGTGTGCAAATGAAAACCCTCCTCTCTCCACCCAGGAGCTGAGACGCCAGTGGCACCCCAGCACTATTCAGAGAAGAGAAAACATTTCCCCGACTAGACGTCGTTTATCTTGTAAAGACACAGACTTGAAGAAAGATGGTAGGAGGAAAAAAAAGCAATCACACCAGTAAAAATAAGACCCTTAAAAAATCCAACCAAACCCACAAACGTTTCCCCCCACCAATAAAATGCTCTCTGAGAAGTCAAAAACTCATTTGGGATGGCATCTCTTCCAAAATATTTCCTGTGGCTGCCAATGACGTCCAGCCACCAAGTGCCTTAATATTTTGAGAAACAAAAGTAGAAATTTTCCCCGGGGAAGAAAAGCAACTCTTGTTTGAAAATAACTAAGGCTCACACCTGCCTATGCTTTCTAGCACAGGTACTGAGTCTGCATTAGGACCATCCCAGAAGGGAAAATGCTGCAACTTTTCAGCAATAACTGCCTTTGTTGCCAAAGACTCAATTTTTAACACGGAAGCATCCACTCCAGATGATAAAGGTGGAAAGATTTCAGGTCAATCCCTTGAAATGAACAACTCATTTTAACCTTTCTTTTTACGCAGGTCTGTGACTTTGAAGTTACTGCTGCAGGAAAAGCTGTCCATGATTTTTCCGGGCTGGATGGGGTTTGAAATTCACCCATGCAAAAACTCCTGTGGGATCCCGGAGGCAATGAGAATAGGGTACCCTGAGAAAGGCTTTATGGGGTCCACAATATCATAGTGGAGCCATTAGGGTAAAGTAACAAAGTGAAGTCAAAATCCAGTGGGGAAAGTAAAAAAAAAGCTCCTGCTCTCTTTCTCTCTTGCCCTTTGGGTGTGATGCCCTTAGTCACCGATGTTCTGCCACAGTGGGCCATCAAGTCCTTAGGGAATTATGCCGCTGCCTCTTTCCCCCCTGCAAAACTATTGGCCCAGCCCCAAGAAACTGCAGAGAGCAGAGCGGGTCCGGTCCCGACTGTGGGGAGTGCAGCCATGCAGGGCAGCAGCTATTCCCTGCAGAAAGGAGTGGGAACATGTCAGTCCTTCATGTGGCCCTGCCCTGACAGCAGAGAACCACTATCTGTGGCTGTACATATTTTCTTTTGTATGCAGACATACAGAAATATTTATAAGATATATCTCGTGCTTTCTTCTACTCTACTTCCTACATAAATATATCTATATATTATAAACAAGCATTAACAATAGTATGAAATAAATGCTGAAGTTACTTGGTGTAACAGCAAAATGTTAGATTATTATGTTTCACTCTCCTACTTGGAAAGCAACCCTGCTTTCCCTCCCAAGGACGGGAGAAGAGCATGGCTTGAGGCACTCACTGGCGTGGGATAGATAAGTTCCTTTATTCCCTGTCTCCCTAGCCTCTTCATTTTGAGCAGAATTAGCCAAGCTACAGTCAAGACAATGAAACAGAGCACTTAGAGAAAGGAAGAGTCACCATTCTTGTTTTGCTTTTTGTATCAGCAATCACTCTCACCAGTAAAATATCTCAGTGCCCCCAAGGAGCATAATAACAAATGTGACTAGTACCTCTCATGGGTGGTTTGCCCCTCGCTCCTGCATGTTGCAGGAGTTGCCATGCATTGGAAGTTTTAGCTTACGTTAGGTCACCTTTCTTGCTCTTTTTTTTTTTTTTTTTTTTTTTGCAATGGGCATCCAGATCTGTGTCCCTGTTAGGAAAAGTGATGCTGGAGAAGGATGACTGCTCCAGGAGCAGAAGGCAGCAGAGCCTGTGAAGTCCTTCAGATCATTTTTGGGCACCCCGTTCCCCAAGCAAAGTGCTGTAAGCAGCCGAAAAATCACTCCCACACAAATGAGGGAGGACAGTGCCACTTTCCTAGGGGGAAATATGTCCATAACAGCACAGTCTTTCTCCAAATCCCTTTTTTTCCCCACCCAGCCGCTCTCTAGGCGGCAACTGCCTCTGACATGTCTCTGATGAGCCCTGGGAAGCTGGAGGAGAAAAGCATTGAGGGCTATAGAGCAAAATTAGAGATATTTTGTACTCCTCAGCTACTTTGCTTTGCTGTAACAGGTTTGGTCTCCTTGTCTCCTTCCCTCCCCCAGCTACGAGCAGGCAAAAAGAGGCCTTTGGTAGATTGTCAGTGGTTTGTGTTACTGTCACCCCATAAAAGCTGGTGAACTAAAATGTCTCCACAGTGCAGTGTGATGAGCGGTGGGTGTCTCTAGGCTGACATGCAGACAGGCTGGTGGCACAAATCCCACTGCTCTCCAAAGCCAGAATTTGGCTTCATTTGATATGTAAAGAAACGGTCTACTTTCATTCTTTTAAAGAATTTTATTTTTATTTCCAGTTTCTGATGAAGCCAACAAGGCAGGGATGTTCTGACCGAAGAAAAATTTGAGCATTTCAATGCTATTCTGTAATGACTCTTTTTCTTGCTCCCTTGCTGATGTCCTGAGTCTTTCTGCTTGGCGAAAAAATAGTGAGATGGAAGAAATGCTCTAAATGCACATTGTTTTCAGCTGCATTTCACTCCTCTGGTGTCAGGCTCATGTTCCTCAGCTGCTTGTCCCATGTCAGAAGAAACCATAACTTTGCAGAGCATGAAAAGATGTGAGTAAGCCTACCAGGCATCTGCAGGTCCATCAGGTGGGAAATGACCCCTCAGCAGACTCTTAGCCACATTGGTACCTCACACTTCTTGTCTGCCTCTGCCCATGGCTGTCTGTTACTGAAGATGCTGAACTGAAATAGCTGCAGTGTTTGGAGGTTTGCAGTTTGGGTCATTCAGGCTCAAAATCTTTGCTAGCTCCTCTAGATAATCCATTATGGGCTTCACCTGAATTTTGCTTCTTCAAGCTAAGAGTCTATGTGGCCCCAGCCCGTGTCCTAGGCTGTTGGTCTATGAAGTAACACCATTACATCAGTTCTGCTATTACTCCTATGTTTCAGTGTCCTCCAAAGCGGCTGCAACCTGCATTGGCATTGTGCCCAGGGTGATGTGCCTTACTGAGACCAGAGTCATGCACAGAGCAAGGTCTGATAAACTGCAGCCTCCCTTGTTACACAGCCCTGCATCATCCAGCAAATTAGGGTCATGTCCCTCCTGATGGTCTGGCATTTTCCAGTTGTTCAGAAAATGGATTTCTATGAGAGGGAGGCAGTGCTTTCTGTGTTCCTTTTAATACAAACTAGGAATAAAAAGAGAGACTGTAACACGGGACTGTACTAGTGGAACAACTCATGGTGCATCCTGCTCCTTGCAACCTGGCTCTGAGGATATGGTATAGTGGTGGACATGGTATAGTGGTGGACTTGGTAGTGATAGGTTAATGGTTGGACTTGATGATCTTAAGGGTCTTTTCCAACCTTAACGATTCTATGATTCTATGATGCTTTCCTCCTGGCATCAGCAGCAAAGCACAGAGAGGTCAGTAGAGAGAAGTGTCCTTGCTCTCAGTTGCAATGCTCAGTGCAACAGGAATCCAAAATGTAGCTGTCAAATTATTTTCTGTGCATGTGTGGTCTGAAAGATATTTGGGAGAACACTTGTCACAAAACAGTTTTGCAAGGAAAATATATCCTTAACGGCAGGGCAAGACCTTCATGTACCAGTCTCCTTCCCTCCCCCAGCCCCTCAGCAACCAGTTTTCAAGGCTTTGCTCTGAAACACTGAGGTCTTTCAGCTTCTGAATGAAATGGCTTTAATTATTGTGAATGTCTCTGTCGGGTGATGCTACAGTTATAACGCTTATAACACGCCCTACCAGATCCTAACAGCTGGTATAATTTGGCCCAGCTCCATGTCCTACTACACAGCTCTATTGATTTATGCTAGCTGGGAAAATACAGCTGATATGTTCCCATAAATACTATTATTTCAAAATACTAAACTATTACCCCTGAGGGAAAAGGGCGAACGATCTTGAAAAGTATTATATCGGTGGATTTGTAGCATTTATTCATTTGAAAAAATATCCATGATTTAATAAAACAGTTTGGACTTAATGTTATTTCCAAATCTGAGGATTTAGACCTTGCGTGCATCCAGCTGGCTTTATATTTTTTGATGAATCCACCCCCCATCCTCACTCCCTTCCAGTTTTATATCATTTAGGTTTCTCCCTAAGGTAGGCAAACAACATCCATTATAGAAAACTCCCATCTGATTGTTTAGTTTAGTCTGCAAAACAGAAAGTATCTTAATCATGCTAAAGCAGGCAGCCCACAAGTGTTTCACGTGCAGCTACAAAAGCCCTTGCTGAGGGGAAGGGGGGCATGGAAAGAAGGCAAAAATCTGCATACGATTAACAGTGCCTTTGTCAGGAAAGTGATAAAAGAGTCCCTGAGAGACCATCCCTTTTTCTGCTAGAAAATAGATCCCTGTAGACAACCATTAGCATCCTCCAAGTGAGCTGGGCTTGTGCTGCCCAGCTCTGGGCTACCTGCTCAGAGAAGATGCTGGGAGGACGCTCTGGAGGTACTCGGGGATGTGAGGAGCAAGAGGAAAATTCAGCCCTGGGATCGCTTGTCCTTAACACCCTGACCCTACCACAAAGGATTTGCCTTCCCTGCTTTGGGCAGAGGGTCATGAAACACCATCGCTTCGCTTCCAAGAGCAGATGGGAGCGAGCGCAGAAATGACTTTGTCCTCTAAACGTGGGAGACGGAGCAGAAAACAAGATTTGGGAGAGGGGGAGAAAGAACAGGAAACTTAAAATCCACCTGAGATTAATGACTTTAACATGTACAACATGTTTTGTTTTGTTTTGTTTTGTTTTCCCCTCGGGACCAGTTTCATCAGTCAGACAGAGTTTGATTAAATATCTCAGCAGAGCCGTGGTTTATTCATCTAGAGCAAAAGTTACCCCCTGTTCAGGGAAGCAGCATTAGCTTTGTTTTCTAATTCTAAGAGCAACAATAATAATAAAAATAAGAAACAGTGGTATGCATTGTGGATCATTTTTATTTGCTTTTTGTTAAGAGTAAGTGGACTGTATTTTGTCTGTATTGTAAAGATGAAATGAGTTATTTTAAAGATCCTTTCTGGGTTGTGTGGATTTTTTTTGCTCTTTTAAGTGGAATTTTTCAAGGTATTCACCAGAACCACATGGCCTCAAAATTTCTCTTAAGAAAATAAAAAGGCAGAAGTGGGTATCATGGAATTGCACGACTCCAGGACTTGGGATGTGAAGGGAAATGCTGCAAAGGCTGCAGAGCTTATGAGAAAGCCACCGGACCTGTGACACTGTGCTGGGTCTCTTTTGCTGCCATCCACGCAGGGACGAGCTTCAGACCTAAAAATTGCTGTGGGTTGAGTTACTTTGAGAGTCTGCCCACTCGTACAACGCAGCGACAACTCAAATGGGGACAGCTTGCTTAAGGCCAGACATGTGTATAAGTGTTTTTCTGGATCAGGGCCAAAGCACTGAAAACCTTGGAGAATTGAATCCTATGAAGGCCAGTTATCGATATCTCAGATCTCTCTAAGTGGTAACTGCTGACAAACATGGGCTTTTTAAAAAGGAGACCCGTGTTTCTTTCAGATTTTCTAACACTGGGCCCCAAATTCACTCAGTCTGGGATCGGGTCTGTAGCATTGCTCAGTGGTGATGAATGATGATGATGAACCGGGGCTGGACTATAAAATAAAAACAGGTAAAGTTGGGTGCTCA